GGTCCAAGAATCGAACCCTGAGGGACTCCAAACTGTATTTTCAAGGCGTCAGATTTCTCACCAACAACTTCAGTATATTGTGATCTATTTGTTAAGTAACTTTTTATAAGATCATTTGCCACCCCACGTATCCCATAGCCCTGTAATTTGACAAGTAATGTACCATGATCTATTGTATCAAAAGCTTTGCTAAGGTCTATGAATATGCCTAAGACATGATGCTTAAGTTTTAGAGATTCAGTTATAAGGTTTACTGAGTGATTAACTGCATGTGAAGTAGAGTGTGACTGCCTGAAGCCAAATTGTGTTTTAGATATTATACCCTGTGAGCTAGCAAACGAATATATTCTTGAGTAAATGATCTTTTCAAAGATTTTACCAAATATAGAGAGAGTAGAGATTGGGCGGTAGTTTTCTATCTCTTCAGGGTTTCCCTTCTTAAATACAGGAGTTATTCTACCAGTCTTTAGAACGTCGGGGAACGTGCCATTAGACATTAAGATGTTGATGTATCGACTAAGGATCGGTGTAATTACGTGAGATGATCTTTTGATTACACTAACAGGAATATCACTTGCTTTTCCATTTTCAAATCCTTTTATTATTTCCGTTATCTCATAAGGTGTACAGTCTTCTAACATAATCGATTTTTCATTAGTCTTTCCAAGGAAATCATAGAATGTTTTTATAGGGAGAATTGGTAAACCAGAGGCCTCACTGCTACTAAGTGTTTCATTGAGCTTAGGGGCAATAGAAACAAAGTAAGAGTTGAATCCATTGGCTATGACTCTACGATTCATGATTCGTTCGTTGTTTATGATAAAGGGAGGCTTAGTTTGCTTCTTTTTCTTGCCCCTGAGCTCATTGATTATCTGCCACGTTTTTTTGCTGTTTTCTATATTTTTATGGATTTCATTGCAGTAGTACGATCGTTTGGCGACCTTGATAATACTTTTAAGCATTCTTCGGTAGTCACTGAAGACTTTATAGAGCAGTACATTACCCTCAGGGTTTCTATTTGTTACAGTGCTTGACCAGTCTCTACAGAGTTCATGTTTTCTTTCAACTGAGACAATGATTCCATCGGTAATCCACGGGTTAAGTTTGGGTGTCCTTTTGGTAACTTTTGGTACATCAAGCTTACAGTGTTTATCAAGTGTTTCATTGAAGCAGTCTAAGAACTCATTGAAGTTTACCGAGGGAGTCAAGTCATTCACCTTCACCTCGAGTTCATTAACAAAATTAGTGAGTTTGGAACTTGAATAATCATAGTAGCGAACATGTTTAAGTTTTTCAGTACTGTTTTCGGTAGGAATTGACGTGAAGGTGAATATAAAGGCATGGTCACCAATCCTATCATTCAATACACCGGAGAGAAGTACATGATCTATCTCTGATGTGAGGATATTGTCAATACATGAGTTTTTACAGTTAGGACGGAAGTGGGTAGCAAGTGATATAGTAGGATACATATTGTTACGAAGTAACGTGTCCTCAAATAGCTGGCTGGAGGTTTGTACATTGAGGAGGTTAGAGTTAAAATCGCCAAGAATATGGAACTTTTTACCAGCCAACTGCTTAGATATATCCTCAAGAGTTTGACAAAAGGTCTCACTACAGCCATTTGGAGGACGATAAGCAACCCCATATGTCAGTTTATCACCCGAGCTAAGAGTAATTTCAACAAATAAGCACTCAATATCTTTTGTACAGTGAGATAGATTTTCGATTACTACAGCATTCAGGCGATCAGAGACATATAAGGATACTCCTGTTCCTTTTTTCTTATCAGGGAATGGTACTTGACAAAATGTTGTATAGGAGGGGATTTGGTATAAGCCTTGTTGGCTTGGATCGATGTTGGTCTCAGCCAATCCAATGACATCAAAATTACACGGGAGGGTCTTATGTTCTATTAAAAAGCTGTCAAAATTACTAGCAAACCCATCTATATTGCAAAACAGAGCGGGCAGATAAGCAGAATTTTTATTTTTCTCAGGAAAAAGTTTGCTGATTGAGTTTGCTAGTTCTTGTTTTGTGTAACGCTTACAGTCTTCAAGTATTGAAGAGAATTTAGCTATGGTGACATCTTCCTGGTTGTTTGTATCATAGAATTTATCTGAATCATCATATCTTTGGCTGCTTGGAAATGGGCAATACCTATCTTCTATTGTACTACAGCAATCACTGCACATCCATAGACCGTTTTTGCTTGTAAATTTCGCGGATCTGAAGCACTTAGTATGAACAACTTTGCTGCAATTTTCACATTCTAAGAGTGGCTGGCCAATATTAATGTATTTACTACAAGGGTCGCACACATCTTTAATAAGTTTCATAATCATGATAAACTAAGTGGGATAAACTCCCACTGGTCGGGTGGCCTTCCTTTGTCTTACTCTCTCCTGTCTCTCCCTCACATACACCCACTGTTTCAGACATCTCACAAATTTAGCAATACCAAGCTCTCCGAGATGGATTTCATCACCATTTCTCGTGAGTTTCATAGCAAGCAACCCTTTACCGTCTAAAAAGTGGCCAACACCAAGGTGCCATACAGTCTGGTTAAAGCTAGAGTACAACATTTCATCAACCAAGCTGTTGAATGCCATAATGTTTTTATTCATCTTAGGGAGTCTAGACGGTAAAACTGCTGTGACAAACAACTTCGCCTTAGGGCACAGTTTCTGGATCTGCTGGATTTTCAGGTGGAGAATGTCTACCAGCTGGTGTATATCACCAGGTGACTGCACATTTTCAACTCGTAGATCGTTGGTCCCACAAACTAAGATGACGTTGCTATAACCAATGCAGAGCTTAGGGTCTATTGCACTGACCTTGTTGGCTTTAACACGTTCACCTGGGAAGGACTGTCCAAGGGTTCCAGTACCGACACCGAACTTGATGGGCTTGGTGTTAGAGTCGCCCATGATGATGCAGCTCCGGCTAAACTGTTTGCTCACAGTTCTCAGTGTGATGGAGAACCTTCCTGTCTGCACAGAAGACTGAGTTTCAGCAGGACCTGTTTCATCAATACCGTGACGATACCAGGCTTGTGACGATCGTGTCATCACATACACTGAGTTAGATTCTGGACTCACACTATGAACATACTCAGTTGAGGCTTCGTTTCCGGTCTCATAGATGCACTTAAAGCACACCTTCCTGACGTCGCCTATGCTGATAGTAGCAATTTCTGAGTTAGCAATAATCTCAGACTCATCGTCAGAGTGAAAAGGGAGCTTGCTACTAGTGGTGGTATCAACTGAGGGAGGGTAGTAGTTTATTAGGATGGAGTTGGGCTTATGGGTCAGTCTGCACTTTGATGTAACTGCGTCTATGGCTGAGGCAAGGGGTGCTGGGATTGTGGGGGATAGGGGTGGGTCTGAATCACCAGTATAAGAGTAGTCTTCCCCAAACTTGAGGACCTGTCTTCCATTCTTCGGGATGAACTTATTACTAGCTTGGCTCTCCAGGAGAAACTCTGTAACTTCTTTGAGGATCTCAGCACTTAGCACATCGACCAGGTAATCACACACTGGAGGTTCTGTGCATTTAGGGAGGGGGATTTCTGTAGCAGGTGGTGCTTCAGATGGACTTCTGGACTGCTGAAATTCATGAATCTCTTGACTCAGCTTCTTCAGTCTTGTCTCCAGGGATACAATCTCCACAGTAGGCATACTGTTACCAACAGCATTAGAAATAGCATCTGATATAGCCTGTATGTTCTGGCTGTAGTCTACAGAGCTCTTTAGGTTGTTGTCCATCTTGGCTGACATGCTGGAGCCTGGTCTGGGGAATGATGTATCGAAACACCATGGACATAGCCATTCTGAGAGAATCATATTCAGAGAAGCTTCAAGAGGTGTATCGTGCTGAATGTTGTTAGCACCCTTGAGATTGCAACAGGAAGCATGCCAGTGCTGAAAACATCTGGTACACTTGAACTTCCATTCCTTACCATCTGATGTTGATCGGCAAGGACAATCACTCTTTGAAGCCCGTTGTTTTACTGTAGGTTTATCCTGGATTTCAAGTTCTTCAGCTGACTCTTCAGCACGGGAGAATGGAGGAAAGGACTTGTACAGAGGGCTCATTGGACTGCTGGGGCTCTCTCTGAGGTTCGATGATTCTAAAGCTGATATCAGGTTTGGGCTGATCTTTTCAATAACCAGATTACCTGGAGGTTTAAGAACAGATGTCTCTGGTTGTTCTTGGGGTGACTTTGATGGGCGTTTACCCAGCACAGCTTTCTGGGCCATTGCACTAGGGCTGTTCCTGCGCAGGGCTTTGTTGTCTGCTAGAGGTTTCTTCTTTTGGGAGGAAGCTCCTCTGCCGGATGGTGACATGCTAGCTCTGGATCCTGGGTTGGTAGGAGGAGGAGTGTGTCTGGGGGAACGCCTTTGGGTACTAGCACTTGAGGTAGTAGCCATGATGATATGATATCAGAGATATGTCCGGAGTCCAGGGGGCCAGCTTGGACAGACCCCTGCACCTGAAAGGAGAAGAGCATCAGCCAGTTCATTGTGAGTGATATGAGGTGGGTTAAGTGGGAATATGATTCAATAGAATTTTTTCAAGAACTTTCAAAAGAGTGATTGAAGTATTCAAAAATATGTAAATCATTCAAAGGTCAGACACACTAACAACAACAGGACAAACTGGGTTTGGATGGGGTGATTTGGTTTGAAATTGTTAAGTGTGTAGGTAAAATTGTTTGAGCAGAATTTTCAGAGTAAAAATAAATAAATTCAGGGCAAAAAATTTGTTGAGACAGGTATTCAGAGAATGCCTATCTTGGAATACTTCAACACTACTATATAATTTTTTGGACTAGCAATGGTTTTTTATTAGGTGTAGTGACTAGTGGTATGTGAACACATGACGAACCGAACTGACAACTCAACTCATTTTCTAGGAGCAGTGATCCATCCTCCTTGAGCCCCCCATCGTCCAAACAAGGTCTCTAGTTCATTGTTAACATAACCATTGCTAGTCCTCAAATTATTTGTTATATAGTAGTGTTGAAAGTATTAAAACTACTGAGTAAGCATATTCACGGGATGTTATTCTGACAGGATTGATGATGCCTAGCCCGCCACAACGAACAGGAAGTTCGAGGATATCTCTCTCGTGCTGGTTGACTGGACGACCGAGGAGGGCTGGAATGAGCACATGCATGATCTTGCTCTCCAGTGGGGCAAAGTACTCTGCAGTGTCAGGTATTGTTCTCATGAAGAACCTCCATCGGTGGCATATTCCTTTGGTGAAGGCTGAATAAGCCAGCTGTGGTTCTTCAGAAGCGATATCAGCAAGTTGTTCAATATCTGTTATCCATTTCTCAACTTTTTCTTTGATGTAATCTTCCCTGTATTTCTTTGATCCTACCACTGCACCAAGGTGACGTTCTCCAGATGTCGTGATCTTTACTCCAAGATGCCCAAATAGTGTCTCTGCTACAGCCTGGTCTTTAAGATTCTTGACAATTAGAATGGTCTTTTTAGCGTTGGGATAATACCCATATCCCGGACCGATGTCACAAAGTCTATTCCACCACTGAAGAAGTTGTATGAAGCTTCCACATGCAGAGCTGTCATCAGCGTACCACACCATGGTTGCTTCTGCATAAGCTCTGAGATCATCTATTATAGGTCTATTATAGGTCTAGTGGCTATGGAGTAAAATTGCATTGCTGCAACGTCTCCTTGAGTGTCCACCTATGTATTTAACCTAATATTTAGTGTATTACAGGTAGAAATTGACTTAGGTAGGTATTTTTCTCTTACTAGGTAGATATTAAGAATTTGGTTAATATCTTAATTGTATGACTATTTCCATTACTGAGACGTTTTTAATATTTAATTTAGGAGGGTTTTTGAAATTTTTATAGGACTGGTTCACAGAGTGAACAGATTCCAGATTTATATATTTTTAAACTGATATTTAATAAATGATTAAAAGAACAAATTTTAAAGTTGCCATTAGATCCAAAAATACACCCATTATGCTCACTTAAAAACAACTCTAAATCAGTAGGCTGTCACTCTATTAATGCACCACACCGCTACCTCCACTGCACTAATAGTTATACAATAAATTCTACAATCCTAATTTTGTATCGTGATGGAGACCGGTGTTCATACAAAACATTTACTAGGTTGCCGTTTGGTGTGGGTAATAGCGAACAGCACGCACACTCCTTTGCCCCGTCAACCTATATCTAATCTATTTAAAGAGTGACAACCATACTGCACATTGAATTAGGATTTCGTTAAATATCAAATTGATTTATTGTAAACTTGTTTAATCTGTAATAAATGGCATAAAATTGAAATTTTTGTTTAACTGAAATTTTTGTTTAACTGAATTATCAAAATTAGTTGAGCCCAGCAGCTTACTTTCCTTTTATCTCTTCCCCCGTCGTTTGGAGTGTGATTTTTGTCGATGTCCAAGCTCTCATCTTTAGTTAATGGTTAACTTTCTGTGATTGGACTCGGTATTTTCTTGTGAAACTTTATTTCGAGATAAGGACCAGTGACCGAACTTTTGAGGGGGTGCCGGACCCCAACCGCCAAACGGTACCCGCATGGTAGCCACGCACATATTTGGTCCAAATTAGGCCAAATTTATCCAAATACCCTGAACATGCCCAAAACCCATATTTTATGTACTCTTCTTGTAGCTAGTGGTCTCCTGAACTCGTATGTGAAATTTCATCAAGATTGGACAAAAAATGACTGAGTTATGAGGGGGGGGGGGGGGGGGGGGCGGGGGGGGGGGGGGGGGGGGGGGAATGGGTATTTTTTTGTGAAACTTTATTTCGAGATAAGGACCAGTGACCGAACTTTTGAGGGGGTGCCGGACCCCAACCGCCAAACGGTACCCGCATGGTAGCCACGCCCATATTTGGTCCAAATTAGGCCAAATTTATCCAAATACCCTGAACATGCCCAAAACCCATATTTTATGCACTCTTCTTGTAGCTAGTGGTCTCCTGAACTCGTATGTGAAATTTCATCAAGATTGGACAAAAAATGACTGAGTTATGAGCCAAAAACCATATGCCCATATTTTGGCATATGTACCAAATTTAATAGATTTCGTCCCATAAATTGGTCAAATATCAATATTTTGGATGAGACTAGCTTTATATGAAAGGTAAGCCTAAACTACATATTCTCTGTAAGTTATAGCGTTATATCTGTTTAAATATGGATACTAAGGCGAAAATACCCCAAAAAATGAACACCCTATAAAATTGCCCGTGATATTCGCGGAATTGATTTCATTAATTTGGAAATAACTTAATAAGTTTTCAAAATTTTTGCATGAAATTTTCGAAATCGACTCTAAATCGCATTTCGACCTTATTGTGGGAAGCCGAATTTTGATTTAGGCCTCCAAAAAAATTTGGCGGACAAATTCCAAAATTTGCACTGCAAAATTCAGAATTTGGCCGCCAAATTTTTTTGGAGGCCTAAATTGACACATAAAATATGGGTTTTGGGCATGTTCAGGGTCAGGGTATTTGGCTAAATTGGGCCTAATTTGGACCAAATATGGGCGTGGCTACCGTTTGGTGGTTGGGGTCCAGGACCCCCTCAAAAGTTCGGTCACTGGTCCTAGTTTGTTGGTCAACTGCTATCTCGAAATCAAGTTTCACAAAAAAATACCCATTGCCCCCCCCCCCCCCCCCCCTAAACAGTAAACACCCTATATTAAGTACTATGGATCAATCAACACTATTGCAACCAACAGTAATACTTATACTCAGGAGTATTTAATCTAAACTACCCAAAACTTTACTTGAATAAAAGGTAAGGACTGGAAACAGTAATACTTATAGTTTTACTCAGGAGTATTTAATCTAAACTACCCAAAACTTTACTTAATAAAAGGTCAGGACTGGAAACAGTAATACTTATAGGTTTATAGTTATACTCAGGAGTATTTAATCTAAACTACCCAAAACTTTACTTGAATAAAAGGTAAGGACTGAAACAGTAATACTTATGCAAGAACATGATAATTATATCATTAATTTACTGAAGGCTATTTAGGAAGTTATCATGAAGAGTCTCGTTGTTTTCCTCTCAGTCCTCTGTGTCGTTGCCTCTGTTCCCGACTATTATGAGCAACTTGGTAGGTACAATAGTTTCTAGATCTTCAAGTTTCTGTTTTCTCTTCGATAAACATTCTTATTTTTATTGATGCTTTTGGTACAAAGTTACAACAAAGTATTCATGTTCTATATCCTGGGTTTGGACAGGTCACAGGATATTACCCGCTTAAAATATCTCCATCGCGTTACATAATGCTCAATAAATGTAATAGATGTATAGTGTTGTAATTAGTTTAAAACTATGTTCTATGTTCACTAGAATTACATAGAGCGGCTACTCTCAGTGATAGGAGCACTGAGTAGATTAATATTGATGCCTCAAATTTACATTTTAATCGTTTCAATCCGGCTACGAAACTAGCTTTAAATCAATGAATTTGAGCGTAATTAAAGTTCATTTTGTTTCCTGATCAGGTGTAAAGAAGGATGCATCGGAGAAAGATATCAAGAGAGCGTTTAGAAAATTAGCTATGAAATATCACCCCGATAAGAATAAAGACCCTGGAGCAGAGGAGAAATTTAAGGAACTGGCCAAAGGTAACTTATTCTTGATTTATTTTTCCATTCATGATATTATTATATTATTTGAATCTTCTTCTTGATCATTATAATTGTTGTTTATTATTGAACGAATATTGCAATTTGGGTTTAATTCTTCGTAAATTTAGAGAAATAACCACAATGCTTTTACTTATTAGGTATTAATTCCATAACATATGTACATTGTTTGTTAAATAAAATTAGATGTCAAAAGTCCAGTTCACTAGAATTGCGATCAATTTAGATTGTTTACGAGAGTCCGAATGTTGTAGTGTCCACAATCTATTGGATCAATTTATGTTTTCTCTGTAATTTTAGATCTTCTTTGTACAAAGTGTTGACTCCGTCTATCATGGTTTGTACTAGCTCCACCTCTGAATATCCTAGTCTGTGCTTGTTGGAGATATCATAGGTTACTCCAGTTTGTCCACCAGATTCACCTCTTGTACCTCTGGGCTGCAAGTTGAGCTGTTCACATCGTGCTTGTAGTGTACCCAGACCTTCAGCTGTCCATCCGGGAAGGTCAACATGGACCGATGCCCTCATTCCAGTTCCAAGATTTGTAGGGCAGGAGTGAATGTAGCCGTACTTCTCGTCCAGTAAAAATTCTTTTCCCGAGGCTGCTTTCACAGACTTTCCAACGGCTTCTATTCCTGCAGCTAGTCTTTTGAAGACTGCTCTGACATCACCTCCCTTCTGCATTGAGATGATGCGTGTTTGATCCTCCTCGTTTACCCAAACCAGGAAAGTTTTTTCTTTATTGTGGTAGATTCCACGTCCTTCGGGCCAATCTCTTTCCATCCCAGCAACTTTAAGGTTTGGATCTCCAGACACAAAGAGGAAATGATCATCTACGAGTTGCTGTCGGATCGTCTCCTTCATTCCTGTTAGAGGATAGTATTCTCCTTTAAGACCTCCGCCCAATGAGTTTAATGCATTCTGCAGAAGCTTTTCTAAGTCCAGTCTCTGTTGTTTTGTAATACCAGGAGACAGGCCAAATCCCTCAAAGGATCTACCTACTCGGATTCTGACTGAGTGAACAGGTGCTCGTGGATCGATCGTTCCTTTAATCTTATCAACATTCATGTCTGATGTATGTTTGGCATCTGGGCTGATACCATGATACTCTTGAATCAGCGGATCAAACACAGCAGCAAAATCTTTGTATGAGTCTGCATCTCCCGCATAGATCCCGCAGTGCTGGTTGTCAAACTCAACAGCTGTAGCCATCGCCTTCTCCAATGTGAAACCTGAAGTCTTGGTCTTGATATTGGAGAGTTTGTCCCACACCTCCGGGGTCACATGCTTTGCCACAAGAGAGTGTTTGGATCGTATGGTGGGGAATGGTTTACAACTATTTCCCGAACTCGTGAAACGCCAAACCCCAACAACCCCGGCCACTGCTATGCCGCCATAAATGGCCTTACTGTACTTTCCGAACATCCTGAAGACTTTAGTTGAGTTAAATTTTATGTAACCAAAACGTGTGTATAAATTAAAAAATCTGTGAAAACTCAACAAGTACAGAGTGAAGTTGTGTACAGATGTTCGCAAAACTCATTTTAGGAACAAATACACGCTAATGAAGATACATTAATAAAATAACAAACAACTGCAAGAAACTCCACACACTTAATATAATAATGCAGATAATTTTTCATTATTCCTGACTTGCTCCTTTATAAACACAACTTCGACCAGAGATGTAATTTTAAAAACGATTTGTAAGAAGCATTAATTGAAACGATTCACGCTAAGTTTATTGAATCTTTAAAGACTAATTTTATTTTTCGGGTTCGACGTCGATTTTCCTTTTGCAGTTTTTCGATCGGCTACCTATGTTAAAGTGGAGTTTTCCCAAAACTATCTGGAAATAGGTGAAAGTGGTAATACCAACTGATAAAAGTAAAAATACGTCACTGCACTGGCAGAATCAACAGTGAACAGGAACAATTCAAACAGTTGTTATCATAAAACTGAGTCGGTAGTGACGGAAAATGACGAGTGCTGCTCCTTCATAAATAAAAATTTATTGGAATCAGATGCAGTTGAAACTTCAAAAAGTTCCACCCAATAATATATTTAACAACAAAACTTATGTTCCAACGATGAAATTATCCAAGGAACTGATTTCGTTCGAGATCAAACTGCTCCTTCATAAATTCGATTAATCTGTGTATTACTGTTTATCAATATTATGAAATTTTAAAACCGAGGTCTGCCAATTATATATATATACTCATTTCTTACTATGTAACGTTTCATGATAGTTTGGAACTGAAAGTTTTAAGTTACAGTTGGGTTAGTTAAATCAACAATTTTTCAGCGTATGATGTTCTATCGAACGCAGAGAAGAGAAAGCAATACGACATGTACGGAGGTGATCCGGAATCTAACGACTTCCAAAATGGTCCTCACGGTGGTCATGGTTTCGATCAAGGGCAGGCCTTTACTGTTAAAATGGGCGATTTCGGCGGATTCGATGGCTTTGAAGGGTTCGGCTTTGATTACGATGAGTTCATGAACAACTTTAACTTCAACTTCGATGATGACGACTTTGGGGACTTTCAACAGCATGCATGGTCTGATGACCATGGGAACCATCACCAGCACCAATCATTCCATACTGGGAACGAGCACTTCCAACACACCAGCCATAGCCATCAAACACATAATGGGCACCATCATCACCAAGAGCATCATCAGCATCATCAGCACAACCATGAGGTTAGTTGAAAAGATTTCATCTCTTTAAACTATTTTTTAATCACGTATATCAACTTTTAAGGCCACAGGGGGGGGGGGGGGGTCCGAGGTCAATTTTGAGATTTTGAGATATGTTGTAGAGCTCGATCTAAATCTTCAAATGCTTTTGTTCTTACCGAAAACAAAGTTTCCTATTTGAAGATATCGCGCGTTGAATTTTGAGGTTTACCTGTAATTCTATTGTAAATGAAAACTTTATATGAAATTGTGTTCAAAATCTATCTTCTTTTTCAGTTTATGACTTAGAACCTTGTAACTTGGCAACAATGTTCTTCAAGGTATTTTGAGTTTTTGTTATGTAACGATTTATGATATCTTGCTCCAAAGCTGAGATATGAGGTTAACCATGAGTGCGGGTTACAAAATTTACAAAATTTAAAATGGTTAACCTCATAAAAAGAGTTAGGAGCAAAATTACAACAATCGTTACATAACAAACTTTTAAATTTATGTCAGGAACATAAGTTCCAAATTTGAGGTGAAAAGAATAAAAGCTCTAGGAGAAGATAGGTTTTTGAGGTGGTAAATAAATTATTCAGGAGAGTCAAAAGAATGATTCTGAGAAAATATGTTAACCTCAATTTTCCAACAAATAAAGGACATATAATAGTTCTGTTCACATTGGATGGCCAATTGATACCCATTGATAAGTTTAACTTGTGATGAGAGCAACAAAATGTTAAGATCTGGTTATTTGTGAGGTTAACTGATTAAAAAGGCAATAGTTAACCTCAATTTTACGACAAACTAGGCGCTCTGGGGGGCTAAGGGTGGTGTGCAAGCGTCAGATAGTACGTGGTCTGCCAACTGGCAAAAAACGTTTTTTCGACCTCGGACCCCCCCCCCCCCCCCCTGTGGCCTTAAGAATGTTATGTGTAAAGCTAACTCTTTAACAATATTTGATATTATTTAAACCACACAAATCAAGAACTGATATCTGATTACTTTGATTAAATATTCTCTGTTTCAGCCACCAAGGTCAGGTTTTGCCGCGTTCTTTGACGACGACGAGGAAGAACATGATAACGGTTTCAAAACACACACCACTCATACTACACAAGGCAACTGCAGGACGACCACCACCCGATCTGGAAACAGTGTTTCCACTTCTACTGTCTGCAACTAGATAACTAGTACTTTTAGGCCAATGTATTTTGTAGACCGGAACAGTCGACGGTGTTTTTAGACTATTTGAATTTTTTATAATGCTAATGAAATCATTATGGTTAATAAGATAATATGTTAAATATTTGATAAGAATTGACATTTTTTAACTGATGAATGTTCACTGTGCTAAGTTTTACACCACTGACTACACAATGCCACGATCGTTAGTTTAATTGGGACACGTATGATACTGGGCTTGAGAGCCGTCCCATAAGATTTCAAACTTGGTTACAGAAGAAAACTAATAATTGTTAAGCGTAAATCTTTAGATCCAGCTGTACATAGCATCTGCTACATAGAGAAATGTGTGGAATAACATGGATTGTAGAAGTAAACTGGCATACCAGTTTTTAAATTTCGTTCTTACTCAATCTTATTTGAAGCTTCGATAATTTTAATTTTATCCCTTTTGTGTTTCTAAATTAAGAATGGGAGATTATGAAAATTCTTGTAGTAACTGATTATTTATTGAAACCATTTTCAAGATTCTGACTCAAATTTGAAGCCTAAAATTAAAATGTATGGCAACCATTGTTTCTGGAATTAAGCACATTTACAAACTAGCTAAATCTCTAGAATTTGTTCTCCACGGTTCGATAAATGAGCCGCATGAAGTGATGTACACATGTTTAGAATGACAAATTTCATCAAAACGGTCTTCTTTTGCTATACTTTGGAAAACGCGACTGTAAATTTTATAATAGATGGTACGCACAAAGTGCGCGCGCAATCTGAACCACATGGCCTCTCAACGGGACACGTATATGTACAGGATCGTGTGGATTAAAGTCTTCACATCTGAAATTTCCTGTACATCCGTGAGCATTATAAAATAATTTAGCATATATACATTCCTAGCGATCAAAACTTGAACAGATCCTAAATTAGAGATATAATTGACTAGCATTTCTGACTTTGCATCAGCACTTAACTAGACCCTAACAGTAAAATTATTCCCCTGCAACTAATTTCTGCTTGCAAAGAAATATGATGAAAAGCATTTTGATTCTGCAGCTTAAACTACATCAAATATTTGTAAACAATTGCAAGATGTTAAGGTCGTTTTACTATACGACTTTGTTCCCTTCCTCAAATTTTGTAGGTTTTGTTAATCATGGTTCATGTTAAGGTTAAGGAAAATTTAAGATACGATTAAGCAACTAGGTCTGCATTGACAATAACCGCGATCATTTCTTCAGAATTTCAAAAGTAATGTCTGATACAAGCAGCGCTTTGCTCATCTTAATTTCCTGTAGGTTTCAGTAAACAAAAAAGAGAATACTTGGTTATTTCCACGAAATTTTCGATCTTCAGTCTTCACAAGTAAATAGACTCTCCGCAGAATGAGATGAGTTTCGCATGCTTTACTAATCGATCACTGAATAGCATGATCGTGGACAGCCGAATATTTTTAACACTTCCCTGATTTGCTGTTAAAAGTTTCACTGAAAAACTCGAACGTTGGGGCCATTCCGAAGCCATGTAAAGAGGGCTGTTATATATCTGAAATTATTTACTAAGAATGCTTTCGAAACAGGATTAAATGAATTACCGTTTCAGTTTGTGATATATCTATTGATTCCAGGGTTTTCAGTCCAGCTCTCCGATTTCTTCGGATAAGCCCAGTTTTACACAACTTAATCTAAGTGCTTCACCAGTTTAGTGCATACTGTTTAACGCAACTTAATTCCGCTCACAGCTTCTGTTCTCGAGTACCCCAACTAAACATCTATAACACTCCCTCGGTGTCACATGGTCCTGACTGAAACCAGTAGTTCAGTTGGGACCATGTGTACTGTTACATTATTCTCGTGTACTGTTACATTATTCTCGTGTACTGTTACATTATTCTCGTGTACTGTTACATTATTCTCGTGTACTGTTACATTATTCTCGTGTACTGTTACATTATTCTCGTTCCAGCGTCGGATATAGAGAATGTACCCTGACAACCTCTTGATTGAGAGCAGCAGGTATGTAGCTGCTGAGATTTTACAGTATATGCTTTTATGCACGTGAGAACGTGACATTAGATTTACTTTCGCATTGGCCATGAGAGCATCAGCATGATTAACAATGGTATTTGTTACACTCCCTAATCTTCTTTCAGCAGTTTAGAGGGAAGAGACAAAGTTCTGAACTTCAATGAGTATATAATATCGAATATATAATCGTGATATTCTAATATTACAAAGAACAGTTTGCTCGTTAATGCTAAGTTTTCCTCACGATCAGGATTCCCATAACTATGCACACATTTTATTTGACTCGAAAAGGGATGCACCATTTAGTGGGGCCAGGCAGGAGCCAGAACTTCAGAGGTTTCTGCTTCACTACCGCTTTTATATAGTGGTATCTAATTGAGGCATTTTTTTTATCGGGGAAAAACCCGGAAAAAAATTAATTTTTATTTTTGGGCAATTTTTTGGTTTTACCAAATTTTCTGTTTTATTTTAATTTAATTTGGTAAAAAGGGGTTCCCCCCCCCGGTTTAAAAATTTTTAAAAATTTTTCCCCGGTTTAAAAAATTTTTTAAATT